GGGACAGACACATCAGTTCTAAGGATAACGTGAAGGATATGAGATAGATAATGGGAAGTGAGACCTTTTCTGAGAATCTGCTTCCTATGTCGTTCACTTAATATGTGGACTGTCCTTTAAAATCAGAGTTTTACATGAAGAAAGACATTGTCTAAAACAAAGGACTCTAAATGAGATCATGCTAATAAAAATGTTGGTGATATTTATTAAAACTCTACAATTTCTGATTACCATATAATTATGATATCCGCAACTAAGCAAGCCTTTTTAAAACCATTAGCTATTACCCAGAAGCCTGCATTTGCAAAGCCAGAAATTCAAGTCTCAATAACTCTCCCAAAAACCTGTATTTCTGCACAGATGACAATGGTTGTTCCTATGAATAAAGAGGACTGCAGATTTCTAGAAAAATGAAGACAGTGCCTGAGCTGTGCTATGGTGGTTGGAAATTCTTAAGTGGAGGGCATGGTAGTTCTTTGAAAAATAATTTGTTTCTACTTTTTGGAGATTTGACTCTCTCTCTTTGGAGGAAATATGGTTTATTGAAAATCACAAAAGCTGAGAGTTAAGGATTGGCACTCTAGTCCTCAGTGTTGTACTAACTAGTCACATGTCAAAAGTCCAAGAACTTAAGCAGTCTTTTGATTTGGTTGGTTGCTTTTGAAGTTGGGTGAGCCATATCTGTCCTATCGGCAATACTTGTGCAAAAGTTCTTTGAAGAGATAAATGTGATATATAATGTATATTATTTTTTGGGGGGGGATATTTTTTGTGGGTTAGTTTATATAATATTTATATTCACTGGATTTCATTGCAAGCTTCCCTATATAGCACTGTTTAAAATCTAATATGTGCTTATTAATTGCAGTTATATGCATGCTTACTAATTAAGATATATGTGTTTCTTCTACTCTGCCCCATGAATTGAAAGTATCATTATAACAGAGGACATGCATTGATTACAGAGTCCTATCCCCAGCAACTGTGTACTGATGGGCACAGTAGGTGCTTAGTAAATAATTGCTGAATGAATGCAAGCGTAAGTTCTAAATGCCCTGTGCATTTTTAGTATATACTACACATTTGTATTCACTCCTTAAAACTGTTGGAATTAATGTTTTGTGGGGTTTTTTTGGGGGGGGAGTTTTTTTTCTTTTTGGAATTTAGATATGCTGCAAAATCAAATTTGGAGATCGTGTCTATGCATATTAAAAAATGATGACTCACTTCTTCACAATCACTTCTGACTTGAAACGCAAATATATTGTAATTCAAATATGTTATGTTGGGATGGGAGAGTTTGATAGCCTTTTGTGCTGTCCTGAGAACTTAAATGATTTTCCTCTTCTTTTGTCTTCGCTTAGAGTGCCATTCAGGGTATATGATAATCTGATAATATTTGAGAGAAGGACATTCATAATCAGATAAACCTAGATTCAAGTCGCACTCTACCACTTCCTAGTTGCAAGACTTAAAGCAAGCTGTTATTTTATCTAAGTCCCCATTGCCTCACATGGGTCTAATTATACTTCCCTCATAAGGTCGTTGTGAGGGTTAAATGCGGTCATGTACTTGAGGTGCTTAGCCTGGTACCTATTATCATTTACATAGTCACCTTCTAAACTTGATTCTTTTTGTTTTGTTTTGTATATCTCTGTGTGTGTATGTTCCCTTTTACAGATGGATACACCACTGACGACATTGAGTTTTACTGGCGCGGCGACGATAACGCAGTAACAGGAGTAACAAAGATCGAACTTCCGCAGTTCTCTATTGTAGATTACAAACTTATCACCAAGAAGGTGGTGTTTTCCACAGGTTTGTATCAGGGGAGAGGATTAAGGTAAAAGAACCTTCACCACCTTTTGGAAAAGGGGTTCCCTGATTTCAGTTTTGGTTCCCAGGGAAGGATGGGGGCTCTCGAAGCCTTAGATCTGCTGAAAACCCTCAGTTCCCCATCAAGGCCTTGCGCATTGTCAGCCACTGGTTATTTTCCAGAAGGCACTTCCAACAAAGCCGAGAGGGTTGGCTCTGTGTCTCTCATTTACCAGAGAAGGGACTCAATGTTGGAGACAAAATACAGAAAGAGAAATGAAGACCTCAGTCAGAGTTCTTCCCTCAACTTCATTCCTCTCACAGAATTGCTCATAGTTTTTTTCCAAATGTACTGGGGATAGCCAAGTCACTGTTCACTCAAGTCTGATCACAATGCAGTTCTCTAAAGAGAGTGGGAGACGAGAAATTCACTTTTCCCTCGAAGGGTAGGAGTTCCTTTACATATCATTGCCTCGTGCTTTGGAGTGAAAAACCCTTCCAGGTGTTGAGATTATCCTGCGCCTTTGCCATCCTCACACTTCCAGTATTGAGGTTTTAGGTTTTCTAACTTGGTTTCATTAGCACAAATTTTTAACCAAAAAAGCCCAGGAAAGCAATAGTTTGCTGCATATTCATTAAGGGAAAAATAATAGGCCCACAGGAATATCCATCTTTATGTTTTTCTTATTGAAATTAATTACCCACACAGAGCAGATTGTACTGTAACTATAGGTTTTGAATTGCCCCTCTGCAAAGGACTCAGGCACGTCTGTCCCTGGAAACTACTGTAGGTGACAGCTGTATGACTTAGTAAGAACACAATGTAGCCTCTAGCTTTAAAAAAACAAGAAGAAGAAGAAGAATAGAAATTTTTCCTAAGTGTGAGGTCCTGCTCTGAATCACTGCGACTGTAGAAATGAGTTCCTACTTAAAATACTTTTACTTTAATCTTAAGATACTTGGTTTAGCCCCAAAAAGCTAGAAAAGGCTTTCTTTTATTTAGTGAGAATACTTCATCCCCACCCTCAACACACACTTATTTCTCAATGCGAATCATTTTGTTCTAAGGCTGTGTTCAGTTACACAGCTTGTCTAAAGTGTAACACCACATATCACCGCAAAGAACCCCACTTCAGGAGCGTGATCCTTTAGTTATTTGTATCACAAATACTGCTCAGGAGCAGTGAGTCTCCACCTTCGGGTGGGTCAGGGATCCCTTTAGGACTCCGAGGGATGCAGTAATTATAAAAAAATAATAATAATGCATACACATGAAAACCTTCACAAAATTTCAGGGAGGTATTGTATTACTAGAAGCATAGCCATTGATCCCAGGCTTAAAATCACCCTGGGGCTTTATGAAGAGGTAACTTTTACTGTCATTGGAGTATGCAGCCTTAATCTTACATTTAAAATGACTTACCGGATGGACTTGCTGAGAAACAGTTGAGAAGGGACAAAGGGACTGTCCCAGTTGTCTTCTCATCACAGTTGTAGAGAATGAGTATCTTTGACCCACTATATGAGGCTAAGTGGAGAAAACCAGGCATTCCTTTAATTATTGATGAGGATGGGATGTATTTAACACTGAGCCACTCCTGCTATTTAACAACTTAGAGCTTCCAGACATCTTTTGCAGGAGAAAGTGCTCTTCACCCAGAACTAAAGTTAAGTTTAGGAAGATCTACAAACTGTTTATAGGACTCTAAGGGGAAGTATCCTACAAGTATTGATTGATAATGATGATGTTCTAAAATTGCCTTTCTAGGTTCCTATCCCAGGTTGTCTCTCAGCTTTAAGCTTAAGAGAAACATTGGTTACTTTATCCTGCAAACGTACATGCCTTCCATCCTGATCACTATCCTCTCCTGGGTCTCCTTCTGGATTAATTATGATGCTTCTGCTGCAAGAGTGGCATTAGGTAGGCCATTTTCTTTTTGTGGGATTTGACTCGGGGGAAGGGGGGTGTCCGCAAATGCACTGTCCTTACCCTGGAATTTGTGATGCATGATGAGACCAGACTGCACGCATCACAAGGATTTGACTATGACTTTGGGTGATCTGATTGAGCCTTAAATCAATTAAGCACATATTAAAGCTCTTTCATGTCAAAATTAGTTAACCATATAGCTGTTGGTAATGAAATTAGTCTCATCAATGTGATATTTTATTGAAGCATAGTTCATATAATATTGCTTGATAATTATTAAATTTGTATCTGTGTTTCCTTACCTGGGAAGAGCTCCCTTCCACTCTTTTTTTTTTTCTGAGCAAGAAACAAAGAAATATAATATGTAACTAATAACTAAGCAGAAAGAATTCTAAACTCTGATTAACATTTTGGAGCAGTATTGCAGAGGGCAGGAGAAAACCACGTACAAATTGTAGAGAAATCATCTATGCCATCACTTATCTTATGCATTATTTTTTGTTATAACACCAGAGGAAGAAAATAAATTATATCTCATGAACATGTTTATGTTGCTAAATCCAAAGATAATGAGTTTATGACATTTTACACAATCTTTATTATTTTGAGTTCTGACTAATTTCTTTAAAATGTTGAATTAACTCCTCCACCAAGAGATCTCAATTCAATCATTACTTCCTTGGAGAGGTCATTTGTTTATTCATCCAACAAGTTATTTGTTGAGCACCCATTGCCATGCCACCTATGTTAGGCACTGGAGATAAAGTAGCGGAGCTAATTATATAATACGGTCAGTCTATAGAGGACAATAAGGAAGGTGAGGCAGGAGGGTCATGCAGGGGGTACAGTTTAGAATAATCAGGGTAGACCTTATTCAGAAATTGTCAATGGAACAA